GACGCAAACATCAAACTAATTTATGGAATAGTTTTCTTGTAGCTTTAAAATTATGTAAACATTAACATTGTTTGCCCAGGGGTAAAAAGCAAATGAGGAGGCGCAGCCAACAAATGCGCTTTTTAGTATTACCCCGGGGCAAACAATAACAACCATTAATAAATAACATAATAGTAAAAATAAATACAGGTAATCTCCTAGTTAGGTTGCAGATATGGCAACTAGTGTAGAATCCAGGTAGACTACTTAAATTAGGTACCAAAAGTACACGTGTGGCTTGATGTACCCTCGTTGTAACTGTATAACCCTAGCAATTTAGTCATATTTTTGCTATTTTTAGAATCTAATTAATAGCTATTAACCCATCAACTACCTTTTTAGCTGGTATACAACCTATCTATTTCTATACAAGATTTTTCTATATTGTTATTGGTATCTTGTCCCATCTACTTCCTGTAGCAACCTTCTTTTTCTCCCAGTTTGGTTCATTCTGGCGGTTTTTTGCTCTTATTGCTCCCAAATTGGTATACATAGCCTTATATTCGATTTAGTACCACTCTGATTTGGATACATATTGTGTTGCCACTATCGTGTCTGTATCTCAAGCCAACTTTTGGGGTGCTGACATAACATGATCTGTTTCTCAAGCCACAACCTTTTTCAAACGAGCACAGCCAGATTTATTGAAATTCTGGTTGTTACTCTACAGTGTACTACTTGCTTTTTATAGTGCTACCATGGTTGGTATTGTCTGTAGCATGATCACCCAAGGCTTCTCAACACTACAGTGTGGGTGTACTACTGACAATCGTTTACACTTCCAGCTTGGTACTGCAAGGAGGCCTGGAACCTTGACTTATGGCACCCATTACTGAAGTTAGTAATGTACGATGTAATACCTAACGCAACTTCTAGTCTTGTATAGCACCAGAGGTGTTCCAAATCTAGTTAGGCCAATCCTTTATCACAGGTCTTTACCATATTTACCACATTACCCGTTACTTCAGTTTTGTTGCACTGGTATTACCTTTCCAATCAAGATCTCCAGTGTATCTGGGGTTTGTTGGTGCTACCTTGCCAAACATGGATTTACATGCGCAACCTATTTGCCCCAAAACCTTCTGCAATGTCACCCATCACACATAATGCCAACTCTCTATGGTTAGATCTCCTTCCGGGAATTCCTATTCTAGATTTGTACTTCACTTGGACTTCCATGGGGCTCTGTGTTTGATTTTGGCTCCTTTAGATTACAGAGTATTTTTCGCCTCCAGCCCGACTCGAACCGTGGACCTTAACTTAATTACCGTAGGGGTTTGGCAACTTAACAAGTAAGCTATAGAGCCCAAACCCAAGTAAATTTTTAAATATGTTTTTGTTTAAATTAAAAAGTTAGATATATATATATTAAATATCGATAAATTATTTAGAGTGACGATGATAATATTGAAGAAATCGCTTATTTTACCAAAAATTTAACTGCACAGCATATTCAATTTTCAGCTGTTTCTGTTGAATATCCATCTACTGATCCTGAAGGTTATACAGTTATATATAACTTTATTGATAATGAAAATTATTCTGAAGAGCAAAGTAGTGATATTCAAATTTAAAAATTAATAAGAGACAAAGCTCGAGTTGTATTTTGTAATGTATATAAATTGTATTTTTTAATATAAATATAATAAATTTTATTATAATTAATGATTTTATTATAATTTCTATTTAATTATTATTAGATCCAATACTCACAAAGTGGTAAAGGCAGAAGTTTTAATGTTAATTGTCCATTTTTTGATAAATCTAACAATGAAAAAATACAAGTTATTAAAGATCAATAAAAATATGGAGGTGTTAAAGTTTGCCTTTTTGCATATAATCATATAATTAATTACAAGCATACTAGTATTGATTTTGATTTAAATATTTTTCAAACCATTAAAAATGCTGATGAATCTCGAAGTATTCAAGCTAATACTTTGTTATAATATTTAATATTTATTTAAATTTTACTATTAATTATATTTTAAAGCTTAAATAAAAATTAACTATTTTATATTAGGTTTTATCTAGCAGCTAAAAAAATACCTTGTCCATATACTCAAGCTAATGATATTCAATGCACTGGTGATTTAGTTATTAAAAAAAGACGAATACAAGCTTTTAATTTAAATGAATTACAATCAAATATTAATCTAAATAATGGATACTTTCTTGGTTGTATATCTTGGAAGTATAGTATTACTAGACATCGATATGTACCACTTACTGAAACTATTGATCACCATTTATTAAAAAATTTAATTAATGGAATGGTAATTTAAATAACATATAATTAATATTAATTTTAAGTATCATATTTTTATTACAATTATTAATTTAATTTTTTTTATAATCTTAGCAATTAAATCAATCTGAAATAAATAATAATTGCAATATTGTTTTATCAAATAGTTCTAAATGATTAATATGCTGTAAGTAATAAATTAAATAATTTTTTAATAATTATATTATTAAAATAATAAAAATTAATATTATTATCAATTTTTATAAATATATTATTACCCGGAAGATTTAGATCATGATGGCCTTCTAACGTTTAATCTGAGGGCTTCCAAATCTTGCGGAGCCATGCTAGCCGGGCATACGGTGACTGCTGCAGAAGATACTTCTTTAACTATCTCGGACCCCATTTCACCATCTCCTTCCGAGATACAAAACCTCAATCCTCCTACTAACAACACACAAACCCTTGAACTCTTTCTCGACAATGACCTTCTCGAAGACAATAATACTTTTCTTGAGGAAGAATCTAACAATAAACTAACTCTATCCTCCAACCCATATAATCAAAGATTTTCCACTAGAGCATTTAATATAGACAACTACACTGAATCCAATGCATGCTACAATAAGTTCCTTCACTATTACAGACTACCCAGCTTTCTTGCACCCCAAACTATAAGAACCTTTCTTCAAAATATCTGTGAACATTTTCCAATGTTTTACTCCAACCAATATATCCAAATTACCATCAAGCAACACCTCTTTTATAATACTGTCTTTACAGAAGAGCATATATACCTTCCTCATGAAAAGATCCTCTCTGGTCATACTAACTACATACCTATTGAAGAACTTTCTGAATTCTACAAACTAGAGCTCAAATCCTCCTATCTATCAACAAATATTTCTAACCCAACTATACCTATACAAACTCAGTCTATCCTTAATTAGCCTTATATCCACAACTTAAACCTCACTATCGCTACCCATAATGTTAGAGGCTTTAATGTTGCCTTCAAAAAACAAATATGGGAAGACTACTGTACTAATCATAATATCTCCATCGCTAGTATTACAGAAACCAAGATATCTCACAAAA